ATTGCTGTACAATAAAAGGTGTTTGAAGCCTGTCCAATGACTGTGGGTACTACAAAGTTGTGCTCTCTCCCCCTAGTACTATGATTGCTTTGGTTCCCAACCTTGACAAAATTGACAGCAAGATATTCTGTACACTGTTCGTGAGCAATTTTATAAACATGATTTAGCTTCAGTTGTTTTACTCTGTCTTCAACATTCAGCATATCCAACTGCTGTAATTCATCCTGCCCTTCATGTTCTCTTGGTCCCAGCCCCAGGATGAATCTTACGATTTTGTTCTGGGTGAGTTGCAGTCTATCTTTCAGTTTTTTTGTCAAGGCAGAGTACCATGAAGAGCAAGCGTAATCCATATGGCATTGTATAAGGGCTAGACATAGGGTCCTGCGAGCCTCAGTAGGTAGACACTGTGCTTGTCTATACAGGAACTTCAGTCTGGCATTCGCTTTCTTTACTACACTGTTCCCTATCAATTCTCCTGACATGCATGGGTCAAAGGGGATTCCCAAATATTTTACTGATGAAACCAAAGTGATGGGCTCCCCATTACATTGAACATTAAAATTATTTACCCTTCTCAGTTTATGTTTCGTGCCAAAGAGAATGGCTTCAGTTTTCCCTAGGTGTAATGATAGTTTGTTGTCTACTAACCATTTGCTGCAGGACTCCAGTTCCAGTGTTAAAACATTAGCAATATCTTGTGGGTCTTTACCTGACACTAACAGGAGCACTGTCATCTGCATACAGTAGGAGTTTGCACTTGACACTGATAGGCATATCATTGACATAACATAAGAATAATAAGGGACCCAGAATACTACCTTGGGGAACTCCACATGTTATCGGCAGGGGTTCTGATTCTATTTTGTTGATTTTGACTATTTGTCTCCTGTTGCTAAGGTAGGACTTAAACCAGTCTACAGAGCCTATACCGATAGTTTGAAGTTTATTACATAATATATTGTGGTTGACAGTATCGAGGCCTTTTGCAGGTCTAAGGTTACCATACCTGTGAGGTTCCCCTTTGACATTTCAGTTCTCAGGTAATCCATCAGATTATAGATATTATACTGAGTATACTAACAGGCCTATAGTTGCTTACATCAGACCTACTATTATTCTTGAAGACAGGAGTAACTCTGGCCTCCTTGAACCCCTCCGGTACGGTATTAGTGGTGATTGATAGATTTATTATGTGAGCAATAGGGATTGACAGTTCAGAAGCACCATCTTTTAGGAACTTAGACGGGATGTTATCAGGGCCTGTGCTCTTAGTTGGGTTTAACCTGCTTAGTTCTTTTTGAATAAAGTCATGAGATACACTTACTAGTTGACAACTGTTTGGGGTTACCCCTTTATTGGTATAGTATGTTTGAAACTTATCAGAGTCTGTGTTAAAGGTATTTGATGCAGCTGGTAGTTTACTTACTAGTGTTGATGCAACAGATGTGTAGTAGGCATTAAAGCAATTTGCCACCTTAGATGTTTCGTGGCATACCTCATTATCATTACTCTATGACTGAAGAAATACTTCCTAACATCCCTTTGATTTATCTGAGTCTTCAACTTCCAATCATGACCCCTTGTTTCTGTGTCCCATCTCTGGAACATCCTGTCTCTGTCCATCTTGCCTATTCCACGCAGTATTGTGTATGTCATTATCATGTCTCCACTAACCCTCCTGTCCTCTGATGTGGCTGTGAAGCAGTTTTGGTTCAGACTTGACCTTTGCTGCTATGTCGTTCTCAAACTGTGGCCTGGTCACAGACCGGGCCGCGGGGGCGTTGACCCCCGGAACTCTCTCCAGGTAAACTCCAGGTAAACTCCAGCTTCTCTCTTCGCTCTAAAATATTTGTTTCTGGTCAGTCTGTTCATTTCTCTATTCTCGTCTATCCTTTCTTGTCTCTTCATCTCTGGTTGAACCAACGTCTCTCTTTGTTTCTTCTTATTTGGTATCTTCTTTTTGGTATGAAGGTCTCTCCACCTTCCCAGCATTTTTTCAACTATGTATTATGTACTTGTAGAAGTAAGGATTATTATTATCATTATTATGATTATTATTATAGTCTGTTTATTTCTCTCATGTCTTCAAAACTCTACTGTTTTCTGATGAACAGCGCCATTCCCCAGCCTCCCGTTTCCTCTGTCTTTCCTTATCACATGGTATCCTGCTGGATATACGGTATCTGTTATCATGTTGGTTAGCTTTGTCTCTGTGATAGCTATTATGTTTGACGGGATCTCAGTTGTTCATTTCTGCAACTCATCACTTTTGTATCACACCCGGAACTCTCTCCAGGTAAACTCCAGGTAAACTCTGCAAGTACTTTCCCATACCATATGCTGGTTTTAATGTCTAATTTTTCAAGTTACTCCTTCAACAGGAGTGGAGGAGGTCCTAAAAGATAATCTGCACACTGAAATAACTCCCTAGGAAAGCAAAAGACTCGGAAGGCAGTGCAACATCCCCCCAGTGTGCCTCTCTACCCTTGTGTTCCTGTCCAATTCCTCTCAGTATTTTGTATGTTGTTGTCAGTATCACCCCTAGTCATTCTTTCCTCTACTGTCATCAGTTGATCTTCTTTAATCTCTCCTTGTAGCACATATTCCTTAGCTAGCTCCAGGACTAGTCTTGTTGCAAACTTCTGCACTTTCTCCAGTGCTACATTTTTCAATATAGGCCTGATATGCTGTATACACTGGCTTCAATGACTCCTTCCTTAGGGTCCTAAAAGATAATCTGCACACTGAAATCACTCCCTAGGAAAGCAAAAGACTCGGAAGGCAGTGCAACATCCCCCCAGTGAAAAGCAGGAATGCCTTGAGTACATTGAGAGACAACACAATAAGTGTCAGGGGCCCAAGACTGTTCAACTGCCCTCCAGCATACATAAGGGGGATTACCAATAGACCCATGGCTGTCTTCAAGACCCATGGCTGTCTTGAAGAAGGCACGGGACTGACTACTAAAGTCAGTAGCTGACCAGCCGAGCTGTGGTTTATTTACGTGCGGCCAGCAGTAACAGCCTGGTTGATCAGGTCCTGATCCACCAAAAGGCCTGGTCATGGACGCATCGGCGGGACGTTGATCTCCGACACCCCTTCCAGGTATACTCCAGACGTGAATTTGCTTCAGCAGTTATTTGGTAGAGGACCGCTGCAGGTAATATGCTGGGAACAGTGCTCACCCCGAGGACCTTCTGGAGTGAAATTTGCAGTCTTTGCTCTGGAGCCTGTACTCCATCTCCAGTCTTCTTTACCTTTTCCCAGTCCTCACAACTTTGCACTTGCTGGGGTTGAACTCTAGCAGCCACTTGCCAGACCAGACCTGCAACTTATAATATATGTATACATGTATGCATACATGCATACATGTATGTATACATGTATACTAGGTGAATACATGATCCTACGCTTGTGCATGCAAGCAGTGACGTCACTAGAGGCTGACCAATGGGAGAGCAGTATCACAGGATAAACAACAATGGCTGCCGTGACGTCACTGATAATTGACCAATGGGAGAGCATTATTAAGGCGTAAACAACAATGGCTACCGTCAGCTGACGTTCAGTGGGGCTTGGTCGACCAACTTTTGTCAACTAAACACATCATAAATGGAAGTTTACGTGGCAGACAGTGACGTTACTAGGAAAGATGTCATCTGAAAGTGACACAGAGGAATTTTACGATGCGTTTGACGTCACTCCGCATCGACAATCAATGAGGTGATGGTGAAAATGGGCGGCTGCACATTCCTCTTAAAATTGGGATTTTTATTTTTTTTTTTAACTCGTGTTTCTGCTTTGTTGTTTGGTGGAGGTGCTCTTGATCTCGGCGAGGGAGGTGCTCTTGATCCCAGGGGGGTTGTGCTTGTCCTCCGTCTCCTTGGATCGGAACTGCTTGAGACTCGTTTCTCGGGTGGTGTGACGCCCCCCCTCACGCCTTCCCTTACTGGTTTAGCGCTTCTCTTTCAAGATGAACAGCAGTCATAAAGCACCAAACTCTTATGGGCTACTGGAAGTGGCAGAGGCTCGATCCCTTTCCTCGGATTGGAGCTGACTGACGCCCATTTTTCAGACGCTGTGAGACCTCTCCTTCCCTTACGGGTTTAGCGCTTCCCTTCAACATCATCATAGAGCACCAAACCCTCATGGGTAATCGAAAGTGGCAGAGGCTCGATTTCTTTCCTTGGATCGGCACTTATTGCCACCCACTTCTCAGGTGCTGTATGACACCCCTTACCCTTACAGGTTTAGCGCTTCCCCTTCAACGTAAACAACAGTCATAAAGCACCAAGCCCGTATGGGCCACCGAGAGTGGCAGAAGCTTGATCGCTTTCCTTGGATCGGCACTTATTGTCACCCATTTCTCAGGCACTGTGTGACCCCCCCCCCCTGCTTCCCTTACGGCTTTAGCGCTTCTCTTTCAGCAACATCATAAAGCACCAAACCCGTATGGGTTATTGAGCACAAAGTAGCCGAGGCTCGATCCTCCGTCCTCAAGCTATGGCCCAGGTCTGTGACCGGCCAGGCTTGTAACCTGCCTGCTGTGTGACCCTTGTAGGTTTAGTGCTTCTTTTTTATATAATAATTGTAACCTGCCTGAAACACACCCAGTTAGCCCTGGAGGCTTCGTAACCCTGGAGGCCTATTACCCCTGGAGTCCTATTAACCCTGGAAGCCTCGTAACCCTGGAGGCCTATTACCCCTGGAGTCCTATTAACCCTGGAAGCCTCGTAACCCTGGAGGCCTATTACCCCTGGAGTCCTATTAACCCTTGAGTCCTATTAACCTTGGAGGCCTATTACCCCTTGAGTCCTATTAACCCTTGAGTCCTATTAACCCTTGAGTCCTATTAACCCTGGAGTCCTCTTAACCCTGGAGGCCTATTACCCCTTGAGTCCTATTAACCCTTGAGTCCTATTAACCCTTGAGTCCTATTAACCCTGGAGTCCTCTTAACCCTGGAGTCCTATTACCCCTGAAGTCCTATTACCCCTGGAGTCCTAATAACCCTTAAACGGTCCAAACGTATATATACGTTCACCTGTGCAGCGCCCCAAATGTTTTGAGAATTTTTTTTTATAGAAAAAAAAGCATGTGCTACCCAGGCGTCTCCAATTTTTTTCATACAGCGCACACTGAGTGCGCACACGCATTCTCTCATATCTAGGTGACTCAGGCCTATCGCGCCAATGTTGAATGAATAAAAAATGAAACATATATATGTTTGGGGCGCTATGCGAGAGAACGTATATATATTTTTGGACAGTTTAAGGGTTAACCCTGGAGTCCTGCTAACCCTGGAGTCCTATTAACCCTGGAGTCCTATTAACCCTGGAGTCCTATTAACCCTGGAGTCCTATTAACCCTGGAGTCCTATTAACCCTGGAGCCCTGTTAACCCTGGAGCCCTGTTAACCCTGGAGTCCTATTAACCCTGGAGTCATATTAACCCTGGAGTCCTATTAACCCTGGAGCCCTGTTAACCCTGGAGTCCTATTAACCCTGGAGTCTTATTAACCCTGGAGTCCTATTAACCCTGGAGTCCTAATAACCCTGGAGTCCTAATAACCCTGGAGTCCTGTTAACTCTGAAGGCTTATTAACCCTGGATAACCCAAGAAAGCCAAGCAAAGGACCCTAATGGAAATTAAGTCACATTGTTTTAATTTTTGGGGGTTATCGAAGGTTAAATCTAAATATATATTTCTTATATGCCCCCAGCATGTGTTGTACCCTCAAGACCATTGTACATATTTTTGTTTGTTATGTACCCTAGTCTTTTGATTCTGTTCTTCAGGATGTGATCCCATGACACTCAGCACTCAATTGCTTATTCATTGCTAGGGCCCTTTATAGGAGGTTCCTTATAATAATAATAATAATAATAATAATAATAATAATCTTTATTTCTACAAGTACACGATACAGCTTATACAGGCCATAGCTGACATCAGTGACATACTACGTATGTCACTGGTGTCAGCTATGGTCGAAGTCCCTGGTTATGCAGAGCATTTCTCGCAACTTGGGTTAATTTTGTCTCCAGGATGCAACCCACACAAGTCAGCTAACACCCAGGTACCTACTTAGTGCTAAGTGAACAGGGACAGGAAGTGTCTTAAGGAACCATAGCCCAATGTTTCCACCCATATCGGGGATCAAACTACGAACCTCGGTGTGTGAGCCGAGTGTGCCACCAGCTTAGCTACAGGACACCTTGATGCTAGTGGCTAGTGAAGGGCTCATGATCCAAGGAATTAGACCTTACCTCCCTTAGATTGAACCAGATTGCCTCCCTTTTTTCTGAACATTGTATGACCCCAAAGGGTTTAGTGCTTCCCCCATGAATGTAATAACTTACAGCCATGTGAACAGAGGCAGCAGGTGTAGGGAGACTTGCCAGTATACATCTCAACATATCCAGGATTGACCTGAGGTCCTTAAGGTGCGAGCTGAATGTCATACATGAGAAGATAAGAAATCAGGAACACTGCATAAGGCCTACTGGCCCATACTTTGCAGGTCCTTATCAAACCCAAACCCACTAAAAATTTCTTGCCTAGCCCAACTGAATCACTTAGTTCCAACACTCATATAATATTTCATAATTATTTTGAGTATTTTTATAGTGTTGTACTCAACAGGTCAGAAGAACCAGTTGCAGACGTGACTTTAAAGGAACCCCAATGGGCACCTTTAGAGCATTCTATTATGCTGGGGAACTTGACCACAGTAAGTTCTGTTATTCAGTTAGCCTTTGATGTCATGGACTAATAGGGGAAGTAGTCTTAGTGTCTATTAAATCAGCAATACAGTGGACCCCTGCATAACGATCAGCTCCCAACTCGACCAATTATGTAAGTGTATTTTTGTAAGTGCTTTTGTAGGTGTATTTTTGGGGGTCTGAAAGGGACTAATCTAATTCACAATATCTCTTATGGGAACAAATTCGGTCAATAACGGCACCCAAACAAACTTCTGGATTGAAATAATATCGTTATGCGGGGGTCCACTGTATTATTAAAAATCAGCAATAAAATCATTTAAATACTCTACTCTGCATTTCATATAGTATGGAGCTCATGATTTACAGCTATACTACGGTAAACATTGAAATTAAAGAAGCTAAAAGTTCAATTTATCCAACTGATATTGCTGTAATATTGAGTGGGTAAACCACTCAATACAGTGGACCCCCGCTTTACGATCAGCTCCCAATGCGACCAATTATGTAAGTGTATTTATGTAAATGTGTTTGTATGTGTATGTTTGGGGGTCTGAAATGGACTAAACTAATTCACAATATTCCTTGTGGGAACAAATTCGTTCAGTAATGGCACCTGAACTTACTTCTGGAATGAAATAATATCGTAAACCTGGGGTCCACTGTATTTGAAATATTGTTTGTATTGTACTCATGATTTAAGAAATGTTTATTTATAATAAGTATTATTTATTTATACACAGCTTGTATATGTTTCGAGGTTGGTTTTGGTATAGAAAAAGGGGTTACAAGCCATCAGAAAGAAACAACAGTAGGAACAATGAAGAATAGGAGAAGTTCAGGAGTTTGAAATATAATAGTTTACCTCACTTCTATTATAGAGAAATTGTAACTGCTAAACTGTAGCTATAGAAGCAGATCATTTGTCCTGATTATATATAAGTTTACCTTGCTTCTTTTTATTAACGAAATTGTAACTACCAAACCATAGCTACAAAAGGGGAACCTTGCTTAGGTGTCCTCATTGTATTTAGAGGTCTGAACAGATTGTATCGTGTTTATTTTATAAAGTCAAAGGAGTCGTTCAGTGGAAGGAGCAGTAAATTGTGCAGTCATGTTACTTGGGTTGAAGACCACCATAGTTTATTATACACAGGTAGCACAAGGCACTTTGACCCTCCCTGATTTTTTGACTGGCTTTACCCCCTCCCTCCCCCCTCAAAAAAAAATCTTGAATGTATCGATTGCTCCCTACAGGTGCTCTCTACTGTGTACAGGTGCTCGCCACTGTGTACAGGTATTCACTGCTGGGTACAGGTGCTCACTGCTGTGTACAGGTGGTCATTGCTGTGTATAGTTGCTCACTGCTGTGTACAGGTGGTCACTGCTGTGTACAGGTGGTCACTGCTGTATACAGGTGCTCACTGCTTTGTACAGGTGCTCACTGCTGTGTATAGTTGCTCACTGCTGTGTACAGGTGCTCACTGCTGTGTACAGGTGGTCACTGCTGTGTACAGGTGCTCACTGCTGTGTACAGGTTCTGACTACTGTGTACAGGTGTTCACTGTTGTGTACAGGTGCTCAGATGTACTCACTGCTGCATGTGTAGGTACAGGGCCTCACATATACTGCCTGCTATTTGCAGCTGCACACATGTAGGGACTGTTGCATATAAGTACACATATTGTACCCAGATGTACTGAGGCTATATACAGGTGTTCATGTACAGACTGCTACATACAGGAGTACATGACTTACCGATGGCCTAGCAAGTCGCCCGAACTCATTACTGAGTCAACAGGAGTGTATCACACTACCTAACCCAGTAACATGGCTACCAGAATGTGCCTAAGTTATCTCTTCCTTCATTTAAAAGTAAATGTTTTATGAGGGGTTAACGGGAAGAAATGTAAAATTTGTATGATCTTAGTTTTCACACATGATACAGTGGACCCCCGGTTAACGAACTTTTTTCATTCCAGTAGTATGTTCAGGTGCCAGTACTGACCGAATTTTTTCCCATAAGGAATATTGTGAAGTAGATTAGTCAATTTCAGACCCCCAAACATACACGTACAAACGCACTTACATAAATACACTTACATAATTGGTCGCATTTGGAGGTGATCGTTAAGCGGGGGTCCACTGTATTTGCTTTGTATAATGCGTTCTTTCAGTTTTTGTCAATTTGCAGGAATGGAATCTGTGTACTAAGCTTATGCTGTTTTGTCTTTAAGCTACACAAGTTAATTATTTTAGAAACCCTGTGTTAAGCTTAACAGTGTCTAAGAGAATGAATGATAATGTATTAACAGTGTATAAGAAAACGAATGATGTATTTTCTTTGGGTTACCTCTTGTTTGCGGTTAAATGTTGACGAGTTCAAGAAATAAGTGATGCAAACCAACGTTCAGTATTTCCATTTGTGAATTAAACCATTATTTCTGGATTAAATGGTGAGGGGATCTTGATCTGAGGAATTGGAGCTACTCTCACTGATTAGCCTTTTCTTTACCTCCCATTTCCCAGGTGCTGTCTGACCCCTATGGGTTTAGCACTTCCCATTGAATGTAATAATGATAATCCAGATTAACTTTGAAATATACTTTGATTTGTCTAGGGTCAAGACTTGCTACAGTCTGTAGAGATCAGCCTAATTCAAGCAAGTCAAACCTCGACTCTTATGCAGCCACCATCCCAACCCTTCCTCCACCCACTGAAAGCTTTCCAGGTGAGTGTTAGTTTTTTTTTTTTTTTTTTTAAACACATCAGCTGTTTCCCACCGAGGCAAGGTGACCCAAAAGAAAGAAAACTTTCATTATCATTCAACACTGTCACCATCACTCATACATAATCACTGTCTTTGCAGATGAATGGTTCAAAGAACCGACACGTTGTTAAATTAGACACATGTGCAACTCTTGGGTATCTGTATTCTATTCAAGATTGATGGACTGACCACATCGACTCAATTCAATTCAGTTCAATTCAAAGTTTATTCTCTATAAGGATTACAATGCTTAGTTTACAGAATTTGGTTATTGTGTGGTTTACATGTAGCAAAATAATAATTACAGAGTGTACCACTAGAACACCTAGCATGGCTAGGCATTTCGGGCAGACTTAGATTAAATCTTAAGTTTAAAATATTACAAAATTATGAGGTAAGTTGGTATTATGGCTAAGTGACTAAATACTAGTTTGTGAGTTTAGCAATGTGAATGCTTTTGTTTTGGCACTATACATAGTTTCAGTATTGGAGTATCACAGGCCAACTTATGACTAGTTAAGATTCATTATTTTGAGATTGAGATTGATATTTCTGTTTATGGTCAAATGGGTGAGTGAGTGTAAGTGTTAACCACCAGGGACTGATTACCTCATTCTCCTCCTGTTCTTCAAGTTTATCCTTTGTATGGACTGATGAAGCCACTGTGTGGTGAAACGTTTCCTCAATAAAGATACCCAAGAGTTGCACATGTGTCTAATTTAACACTGTCTTTGCAGAGGCGCTCAGGTACGACAATTTAGATAGTCACTCCACACCGCCAGTATCCCAAATCCCTCCTTTAAAGTGTAGGCATTGTACTTCCCATTTCCAGGACTCGAGTCCAGCTAACCAGTTTCCCTAAATCCCTTCACAAAATATAATCCTTCTTACACACCAACAGCTTGTCAGTTATGTACACAATAATATAAGCCGAGAACTGATGATTCATAACTTTAAGTAATAATTTTCTGTTTGTTCTTGTAATTCCTAAATTTATTGTTTATGGACCCCTTAACCCGTAAACGGTCCAAACGTATATATACGTTTTTTCAACATTTGAAAGTATATAAAAAAAAATAGATCTTTTTGTTTTTTTACATTTGAAAATGTGTAAAAAAAACTTTGATCTACTTTTTTTTTTGTTATATTTGAAAACATGTAAAAAAAAACGTAGATCTACTTTTGTAGCACAACACATGGGAACGTAGATCTGCTTGGACCGTTTACAGGTTAATGTTCTTTACTGCCCCATTGTAATCTTATGATTAACCACTTCACTGACTGTGCTACAGTACTACAGCATAAACTCAGTTCACTCAGATGAGCTTTTGAGTGGTAAATTTGGGCCTAGATATGAGAAAATGGGTCTGTGCACAAATGTGCACCATATATAAAAAAATCCTGCGCATGCAGTGCATGAGAAAAAACCGCAACTGTGTTTTGGTTTAAAACAGTAGTGTATTTTTGTATGGTTTTTATGGTTGTATCCTCAGTTTCTTGGTCTTGTTTGATAGAATGGAAGATATATTACAGAAATAGAGATGATTTTGATTGGTTTCATGACCGAAATTAGCTTGAAATTGAGCTCAAAGTAGCGGAAATGTTCGATTTTTGCTGATATTCAAGAGTAAACAAATCACATCACTCGTCTAATACACTTCCAGCTGGTGGATCTAATATGCATTCAGAAATGTGCTGATATTATTTATACAATTATTACAATATTGCATAACAGTAAATCTTCTATTTTTTGTGTGTGAATAAAAATTCTTTGTTTGAACAAAAGAATCAAAATGGAATTTATGTGTAAAGCCTGGGAACGTAACCAATGAACAGAGGAAATGTTATTTTAGTGCCAGGAATGCCTGCATTGTTTATTCTGGACCCTATACTACACAAATAACCCACACATAGAAGAGAGAAGCTCGTGACAACATTTCAATCCATCTTGGACCATTTACAAAGTCACACTAACAGGGAGGGGAGAGGGAGCCAGTATTTATAGGCGAGCAGACAGGGATGGGACCAAAAGAGGTAGGAAAAAGTAGTGGTGGTGGCAGCAGTGGTGGTGGTATAGGTATAAAGTAAGGAGAGTAACTTATGTGGGACAAAATATAAAAGGGGGAGTAAAGGGTGACGGGAGACAAAAGTAGCAGGAATGGTGGTGGTAGTAGTAGTTGTGATAATAGTGGTAGTAGTAGTCGTGGGGTCAATCAAAGGAGAAGAAAGAGGAGCACTGCAGGAGAGCTAAGGACCCACAGGAAACTAAAGGACAGGACACCCTAGGCAGAAGAAAGAAAAAACAAAGAAAAAAATAGAAAATAGGAAAGGAGAAGAGGCAGAGAGAGGGGGAGAAGAAAGGATCAGATAAGTCACAATGTTCTGGAGTTTAGAGCATTTGACAATGTAATGAAAAATGAAGGCGTTACATAGACAAAGCCAGGACTAAGATTCATACAAGGAAAGTTGTGAATAAGGGAAGATTCAACAAGATGGCTACTGTGAAAGAAGTAGGGAAAACAGTTCTAACAGAGGACCAGTTTATAGGATGACTATGATCTCTGACTTGAATGGAGCATTATTGGTGTCGGTAAGTCTAGCACTTCATTTGTGTTCCTTGAGTCTGTCAGAAAGAGAGCTATCAGTTTCTCTAAAGTACTGAAGAGGACAAGAGGAGCAAGAAATAGAGTAGACACCAGGGGCATATATAGCAGGAGGAGAGGTATGAACTAAAGTGTTAGTTGGGCATATTACATATTGTTCCAGTCACAGTATTGTGCCCTTTTGTTCTTTCTGGGCCTTATTTTGAAGTTGGAATATTTGAAATTTGTGTGAAATTGGGCAAATTATCAATTTCTGATCACTTTATTGAGTAGTTAAAATAGTTGATTGGGCGATTTCTTATGGTCAGTCGATAAAATGGAAGATACATTAGTGAAATAGCTAAGAATTTGGTCAACTGGAACAATGTGATTGGACTAAAATAGGACTCAAAGTGAACAGAATTGCCGATGCGTAAATATCGCTGACGAGCTCAAATTCACCAAAAACTGTTCATTCTGGCCATTTCCTCATCAAATTTTGTAATTTCATATTGTACCAGAAAGAGTTCATTACCATTTCATAATTTTTATTACCTTTGTAAATGTGAGTATTACTTTGTAAATGAGGTTCATTACCTCTGTAACTGCTGTATCAAAATTTGATCAGTCTGGGCAATTATGTCTTAATCTTTGACTAAGCCCACAGATGGTATGGGTCTGATAACATATTAACTAACAACTAGCACAATTCGCAAGGTATATTTGCAGTTCATCAAATTGGTTATTATCTTCGAAAAAGACTCTAAATTTCATAATTTTGCACCCTGAAAGCAATTGGAAACAGAGGGTTTACCTGAAAGGTTAAATTATCAGGTATTCAATTTGAGTAAACACACATGTGTCTGGCACACTTGCTTAAATACCGGTATAATTGGATCATCAAAGGATCTATTCTAGTGAACACCTAAGATGAATCATTTAAATTGGAAAGGAAGAACGTGCTAGCCTTAGCGTTAGTATGTGGAAACGCACATGAGGACACAGCATGCATGCTATGGCCACTCATTAGGAACACCTGGTATGTGGATAAGGTACTGTCAAAGCTTATAACATAATGGTAAATTAAAGGTGAGGTAGCCAGTGAAGGCCCGTCATACGACGCAAACTCCACGCGGGACTAGATGTACTAGACCCTCATCAAGTAACACTTGTCTTGTTCTTTCAACCTACTTACATTAAGATTAAATTGCCAAAACCATTGATTCTAGCGCTTTGTTGCCCTAACAATGTTAACAGATTATATTTGTACAGCAAAGAAAAAATTGTAAGAATGGGCTGTGGGGTGGTGATCTCTGCAACCACTAACATATAAAAGAGATATGGGAAGGATCACAAGAAAAATGAGTGAAGACGTGCAAAATCAAAAGAAGGAATGAAGGTATAACGTACACTTTTCCAACATTATTCAAGATTAAAGATTCTTTATTTCAGCATGATACAGTGTTTGTACAGAGATGGGTGACATTTAGATGTGCATGCAGAAAACCACTTAGTATGCAGAGCAATTCAGGCAAACTTACACCTATCTTAAGACTAATAAGCAAGAGTTACTCCAATAAATAAAGATGGAGACCAAGCTGATGTAAATAACTATAGGCCAATATCTAATTTACTTTTTGTTATTTTTGGAAAACCAATACACGAGAGATTATATTCTTTTCTAGTATCACTCGGTATACTCAACCCATGCCAGTTTGGTTTCAAAACAAAAGTACAAATAATGCATTGATAAAAATGCTTGACTTCCTTTATCCCTTAACCCGTAAACGGTCCAAACGTATATATACGTTTTTTCAACATTTGAAAGTATGTAAAAAAATTAGATCTTCTTTTTGTTTTTTTACATTTGAAAATGTGTAAAAAAAACTTTGATCTACTTTTTTAGCACTACACATGTGAACGTAGATCTGCTTGGACCATTTACGGGTTAAACTGTCCAAATGTAGATCTGCGTTCACGTGCGTAGCACTCCGAATATAGATCTCTTTTTTTTTTAAATTTGGAAGCATGTAACAAAAACGTAGATCTACATTCGGAGCGCTACACACATGAACATAGATCTATGTTTGGACAGTTGAAGGGTTATACAGCTCTTGAAAATAATGAATATCCACATGGCCTCTTTATTGACCTTAGGAAACCTTTCAATACAGTAGACCACAGCACCCTACATCTCAAACTAAATCATTACGGTATCATATGCCATACAATTTCATATACATATAAAGTTTTACCTTACCAACAGACACCAGTATGTCTCTGTCAAGGACACAACCTCATCAACAAAACCTGCTGACATAGGCATCCCACAGGGTAGTGTCCTTGGTCCTCTTGCTTTTACTCTTGTACATCAGTGATCTTCCAAATGTATCACAGCAACTTAGACCTGTTCTCTTTGCCAACAACACAACTTTTGCGATCCCCAACCCAAATCTGGATTCCCTCAATAACATTGTTAACAAGGATTTCTTAAAAATATCAACCTGGATGACTACCAATAGATTCAACGTTTAACATTGATAAGCTGCGAGTCATAATGGCGGCTTTTAGGGGAGTAGAGCTAGAGTTCACCACAACCATGGTGGTGGGAAATTCATTTTTAAAAATTTGCATTGGTAGTCATAGAGGGGCCCATGCTAACTTCCATATGGTGTATAAAAACATACCAAGTTGGATGAATCTTATTGTAGCCGGCTGGCCCAGTGGCTTACATACTGGCCTGGAGTTTCAGCATTCACTTGCCATGGGTTCAAACCTGTTCTGTGGTTTCTCTCAGTTATTACTGTTGTAGATTCCTGTGGCCCTTACCTCTGTGATCTGGTCTCGAAATTGGTCTCTGGTTGATGCCCTGCTCAGGCAGACTGTTGGTTATAGCAGCATGCATTGGAAGGTTATGAGAGGACATACATATACCTGGAGTATACCTGGAGAGGGTTTCAGGGTCAATGCCCCTTCGGTCCAGTCTGTGACCAGGCCTCGTGTCACTGAATATCTTCAATATTTAAACCCTCCATTTTCCTATACTACTTTTTATCACTAGAGCAAATTTAACCTTTTACAGTGGAACCTTGGTATGTGACCTTAATTCATTCCAGAAGGCTGTTCAAGTGCTGCTTTGAATATTGAACAAGTTCTTCCCAACCAATTTTCTGTTCGGTTGGCTGTTATCACTAATCATCATAGGCCTCATGGTGATTTATTTATACAAATAATACAAAAAAACACCAAAAAATGCGAAGAAACACGAAATAGTTTTCAGGGAAGCTCTGGCAGGTTGTATTTGTTTGGTCGTGTGCTGAACTTCGTTCAGTAGGGACTGGCCGATTATTTACCAAGTTCCACTGTATTGAGAAACACGTGTAATAATTCAGGTTTTTTTTCAGCATTCAAAGTTGAAAGATCATGCAGAATAAAAGACCACGCAGGATAGATAATTATATAAAAATACCATGGTGAAAATAGGAAAAACATTTGTATGCTTACACACACACATCTGGTGTTTCCTGACTTGAATCTTAGTCATATGATGACCTGCTGATGGAGCTTTTGGTCATCTGTGTGAGGCCTTCTGCTGGCTTACTGGTTCATCAAGGGGGTTCCTTGATGGTGATAAAGGGCTCTTGGTCCTAGGAACTAGAGCTTTCCTTCCCTTGCATTGAACCTGATTTCCTCCCATTACTCCTAAGTGCTGTATGACCCTACTAGTTTAGCACCTCTCTTGAATATAATTATTTTTTGAGTCATTCAATTGAATTATTGCAATCAAGGGCGATGATGACGACGACGAGGAAGCGCCAAGAGTTCGATCAGGTGGCAGACGGCGCACAAGACACCAAGAAGTCCGAAGACAGATACAAAAGGAGGATGACGACCCTCCATTTCCTCCCTCACCGGTTGGAAGTCAGTCGTCCTCAATAGATGCAGTTTACCCTGCAGGAAGAACCTCTCATCCCTTTAGAGTTGTTGAACACGATGCTGCGAGTGTTTATAGTTCAGTCTCGCTAGGGAAGGTAAGTACATAGTCCAGTAATATTTCTCTTTGCATTGTAACACCTTAAGAATGGAAGAAACAGACGTACAAATGCAGTGTAATGTAATTCTATACTGACTCGGAGGAAATAGGCATAAAAAAGTAGTACAGTGGACCCTTGACTAACGATATTAATTGGTACCCGAGAACGATTATCGTTAGTCAAGTTTTTTAACGTTAGTCGAGGCAACATGTTAGCGTTAACATGTATCGTTAGTCGAATTTAACGTTAGTCGATGCCATCGTTGGTCGAGGGTCCACTGTATAATGTTATTTTTTATTGACTCTAACTGAAGAATAGAGGAACACTGCAGTAATTCTAATTGCTTAAACAAGGCAAATGAAATCCAGCCCTTCTCACCCATAAGAACTGTATAATAGATTCTGCAAATCTTTTGGTGATTTTTCATATATATTTGCATTCTTCAGGTAGGCAAGATGTTAGCCGGTATGGAAGCTCAAACTATACGTGAAAACCAGCTGAGTCAAGACGCTGGCTCTCCTTCAGAAAATAAATCAATAGAGTCGTCACAGTCAGATCCTTCAAAAGATATATCGTCATCCAGAAACATAATGCATCCAGGTAAATGTTTGAAATGGTTTACAAAGTCATTCTTCAATTTAAAATGGTATTGTACTGGGGAAAATCATATTCTGTTAACAATTACAGTATTTTCTGGTACATGAGGTGCATGACAGATGTACCGTAATGGTAAATCAGTAACCATATTTTAGGGTTAATTACTGTCTTACTATACTTTCACCATCATTCACTCCATCACTGTCTTGCCAGAAGGGTGCTTTACACTACAGTTTTTAAACTGCAACATTAACACCCCTCCTTCAGAGTGCAGGCACTGTACTTCCCATCTCCAGGACTCAAGTCCGGCCTGCCGGTTTCCCTGAACCCCTTCATAAATGTTACTTTGCTCACACTCCAACAGCACGTCAAGTATTAAAAAACCATTTGTCTCCATTCACTCCTATCAAACACGCTCACGCATGCCTGCTGGAAGTCCAAGCCCCTCGCACACAAAACCTCCTTTACCCCCTCCCTCCAACCTTTCCTAGGCCGACCCCTACCCCGCCTTCCTTCCACTACAGACTGATACACTCTTGGAGCGAAACAGAGTTATTTGTGTATCGTTCCAGTCACGGTATTGTGCCTTTTTTTGTTACTGTCTTACTATACGCTAAAGTGAAACCCAAAACCTTCCCTTGACCCTGACCTTGAGTATGTAAAGGGCAGACTGATTTTCCAAGACTTTGTGGAGCCTCGTGGTCTGGCAAAGCTCCCGCTTCACACATGGAGGACCCGGGTTTGATACCCAACAGGATGGAAACATTTTGATGCATTTCCTTACACCTGTTTCCTGTTCATCTAGCAGCAAATAGGTCCCTGGGTGTTAGTTGACTGGTGTGGGTTGCATCCTGGGGGACAAGATTGAGGACCACAATGGAAATAAGACAGACAGTCCTTGAAGACACACTGCCTTATGGGTTATCCTGGGTGGCTAACCCTCCGGGGTTAAAAACCTGAACGAAATCTTATAAAAAGTGCCCCTTATATGCTGGAAAATATGGTAGATATTTGAAAAGCTGATTTGTTGTACCTATCTAATAGAAAATTAGTATTCTTGTATTTAATGATTTTTTTTTTTTTTATATTAACACACTGGCCGAATCCCACCAAGGCAGGGTGGCCCGAAAATGATTTTTATCTTTGTTTATTTACTAAAGCAGTTGATTTTGACTTGTTTATTAATATATAAAGTTAAAATTAATTGTAATCTTGAGTCTTGCTATGAAGAGTGGGTATAATAAGGGCTTTGTAAAAATATTACTTCTTCTTTCAACACACTGGCCGTATCCCACAGAGGCGGGGCGGCCCAAAAAGGAAAACAAAAGTTTCTCCTTTTGCATTAAGTAACACAGTGGTACCTCAGGATACAAGCAGCTCAAAACTTGAACCGTTATGTAAGTGTATTTATATAAGTGCTTTTGTAAGTGTATTTTTGTGGGTCTCGAAATGGGTTAATCTAATTTACATTATTCCTTATGGGAATAATTTCGTTCGGTATCGGCACTCGAACAGCCTTCTGGAACGATTTAAGTTCGTATCCTGAGGTACCACTGTATATACATTTTAGTTGCCTCTTATGACATGCGTGGAAAAATATTGTGATGTATATTATATACACATTGTCCCATACCTGTGTATGAATTTTTTTTTTCAATGCACCAGATGTATCCCACCTAGGCAGGGTGACCTAAAAAGAAAAACAAACCATTTTTTCTTTTCAAATTTAGTAATTTATGCAGGGAAAGTGTTACTAGCACCTTCCTTCCACAAAATTTTGCATTTAAATATTAAATTTTGATTTAATCTGATGTACAGGATCATTAGTTTCATTATGAATAGAATTTTCACACAATGTGGTGAATTTTTACACGATGTAGTGAATTTTCACATGATGTGGTGAATTTTCACACAGTGTGGGAAATTTTCACACAATGTGGGAAATTTTTACATGATGTGGGCAACTTTCACGCGATGTGGCCAATTTTCACGCGATGTGGGGAATTTTCATGCGATGTGGGGAATTTTCACGCGATGTGGGGAATTTTCACGCGATGTGGGGAATTTTCACGCGATGTAGTGAATTTTCACACGATGTGGGGAATTTTCACACAATGTGGTGAATTTTCACACGATGTGGTGAATTTTCACACGATGTGGGGAATTTTCACATGATGTGGGGAATTTTCACACAATGTGGGGAATTTTCACACAATGTGGGAAATTTTCACACAATGTGGGGAATTTTTATTAATTAGTCAGCTGTGGTTCATTTTATGGTGCAGCCGAATTGTGCACGTTAGTTTAACAATATTGTTCACTGTACTACAAAATATCTTTCTCACGGAAAGAAGTAAGGGGTTACCTTGATGCTAGTGAAGGGCTCTTATTCCAAGGAAATAAAGCTACCCCTTCCCCATCCTCAGATAAAACATGATAGCCTCCCATTCCCTAGGTGCTGAATGGTTTCCCCATGCATGTTCTGTAATAATTTTCTTATCAAAAGTATGATGTTTACTTTAGAATCTCTATTGCTCTGCACTTTAGGACCCTTTAACCCTTAAATGGTCCGAACGTATATATACGTTCACGCGCGTAGCGCCCCAAAGGTATATATACGTTTTCTTTGTCATTCATTCAACATTGCCACAATAAGCCTGAGTCACCTAGACATGAGAGAATGGGTGTGCGCACTCACTGTGTGCCATATTAAAATAATTGGGGATGCCTGGGTATCATATGCTCTTTTTTCCTTTTAAAAGAAAAGGTTTTTTTTTTCCTCAAAAAATTTGGGGCGCTCCGCGAGTGAACGTATATATACGTTTGGACCATTTAAGGGTTAAGGGGTTGCATTGATGCCAGTGAGAGGGCTCTTGATCTGAGGAACTGGTCTTGTTTTTCCCTTTCCTTGGGCATTACAGATGCTCCTTGGTTTACGATGGTTCGACTTCAGTATTTCGACTTAACGATAGTGCTATAGCAATGCACATTCAGTACTGTACATGATAGGATAAACTTGCACAGCCTCTCCTCACTTGATGACGTACTCGTTAACTGATGCCTCAGACTTACTACTGGCTCTCTGACAAGTAATCATAGTTAAATAATGTATATTAGAGCTGATTTCCTCTATTCTATTTCAATATACTACAGTACACTACTGTATAAACATTTAAAAATATACCAGAAATGTTATAAATGGTGCAATGGTGACATTAAAACAATATCAAAGATGGTTTACACAAACCCACTACCATTATAGTATGCTCCTCACTTAGTGACGAATTTGTTTAACGGCGCGGTCTCAGGAACGAAACTCTGTCGTTAAGTGAGGAGAGGCTGTACAGTGGACCCCCGCATAACGATTACCTCCGAATGCGACCAATTATGTAAGTGTATTTATGTAAGTGCGTTTGTACGTGTATGTTTGGGGGTCTGAAATGGACTAATCTACTTCACAATATTCCTTATGGGAATAAATTCGGTCAGTACTGGCACCTGAACATACTTATGGAGTGAAAAAATATCGTTAACCGGGGGTCCACTGTATTTATTTACTTTTCAACACTGATATTTAGTTGCAGTAATTTTTTGTTTATTTACTTATTCAGTGATAGTAGTTATTTATTTACTGATTGTGTTAATGTTGCAGTTTAAAAACTGTAGTGTAAAGCAGCCTTCTGGCAAGACAGTGATGGAGTGAATGATGGTGAAAGTTTTTCTTTTTCGGGCCACCCTGCCTTGGTGGGAATCGGCCAGTGTGATAATAAAATAATAAATAAATTATTTATCATATCATATTCACATTTGACTTATGATGGGTTCATTGGCATGTGACCTTATTGTAAGTTGAAGAGCACCTGTATATAATCCCTGTTTTTAGCGTCTCCCCTAATTAAAATGAAAAACGCTTTTTAGTATTTGTCTAATAGCAAAGGAAGTGAAAATGGTAGTAGTATTTCAGTATTTTCTCATATTTACACTTGAAATTTACCATCAGGTGAGACAGCAGGAATGACAATGTGTCCTGAGCCAGACCTGGTGGCCAGCACAAAAAGCAGCTCAGGCAGCGACAAGTCAAATAGCCTTCCCCGCATGGCACAAGAACCTCTTCCAAACCTGCCCTCAATAGATATCACGTTACAGTCGGAATTGTCAGAAGCGGCTCAGGACGACCATCTTCCAGGAACTCCACCAATGGTGCCCACGTCAGCACCATCTCCATTCCTCACTTCTACTAACCTCTCTACTGATATAAATTGTCAGTCTAATGCTGGTGTTCACTCAGCAAGTGTGGGTCATGGTGCAGCTGTAGCGCCTCGAGCTGTGCCCTTTGCCCATGCACCAGCTGTTGTTGAACAGCCTCCAGCACAGCTCCTACAAGGTCCACCTCCGCCTAGTTCACCGCGTTTAGTTCCAGTAGCTCCTCCTAGAAGAAGACGAAGAAATAAACTGAGTACTGATGATGTAAGTACAAGGTATAAACATGTAATGTCTATCTTTTTTTTTCCTTCAGGCCAAAATTTAAAATTACATTGATCTTGTGCCCTAAATCATACCAATACCTACTTAACACTCCAGCAAATGTTACCACTACCTACTTAGCACCCCAGCAAATTGTACCTGTACCTATTTAGCATCCCAAGCAAATGGTACTGGTACCTGCTTATTACCCTGGAATATGTTAGCATCACAAAACTAATTCCTCATTTGTGCACTATGTTAGTGCACAAATGTAGTAGGTTGGTAGACAGCAACCGCCCAGGGAGGTACTACCGTCCTGCCAAGTGAGTGTAAAACGAAAGCCTGTAAGTGTTTTACATGATGGTAGGATTGTTGGTGTCCTTTTTTCTGTCTCATGAACATGCAAGATTTCAGGTACGTCTTGCTACTTCTACTTACACTTAGGTCACACTACACATACATGTTTTTTTTTTTTTTTTTTTTTTTTTTTTTCAACAAGTCGGCCGTCTCCCACCGAGGCAGGGTGACCCAAAAAAGAAAGAAAATCCCCCAAAAAAGAAAATACTTTCATCTCATTTCCACACTTTCACCACACCGCTCATTATCACTGCTTTTGCAGAGTGCTCAGAATACAACACTTACAAGCATATACTATAAGAGATACACAACATATCCCTCCAAAACTCCAATATCCCAAACCCCTCCTTTAAAGTGCAGGCATTGTACTTCCCATTTTCCAGGACTCAAGTCCCACTATATGAACATAACCGGTTTCCCTGAATCCCTTCACTAAATATTTACCTGCTCACACTCCAACAGATCGTCAGGTCCCAAGTAATCATTCGCCTCCATTCACTCCTATCTAACACGCTCATGCACGCTTGCTGGAAGTCCAAGCCCCTAGCCCACAAAACCTCCTTTACCCCCTCTTTCCAACCCTTTCGAGGACGACCCCTACCCCTCCTTCCTTCCCCTATAGATTTATATGCTTTCCATGTCATTCTACTTTGATCCATTCTCTCTAAATGACCAAACCACCTCAACAACCCCTCTTCTGCCCTCTGACTAATGCTTTTATTAACTCCACACCTTCTCCTAATTTCCACACTCCGAATTTTCTGCATAATATTTACACCACACGTTGCCCTTAGACAGGACATCTCCACTGCCTCCAACCGTCTCCTCGCTGCTGCATTTACCACCCAAGCTTCACATCCATATAAGTGTTGGTACTACTATACTTTCATACATTCCCTTCTTTGCCTCCATAGATAACGTTTTTTGACTCCACATATACCTCAACGCACCACTCACCTTTTTTCCCTCATCAATTCTATGATTAACCTCATCCTTCATAAATCCATCCGCCGACACGTCAACTCCCAAGTATCTGAAAACATTCACTTCTTCCATACTAGTCCTCCCCAATTTGATATCCAATTTTTCTTTATCTAAATCATTTGATACCCTCATCACCTTACTCTTTTCTATGTTCACTTTCAACTTTCTACCTTTACACACATTCTCAAACTCATCCACTAACCTTTGCAATTTTTCTTTAGAATCTCCCATAAGCACAGTATCATCAGCAAAAAAGTAACTGTGTCAATTCCCATTTTGAATTTGATTCCCCATAATTTAATCCCACCCCTCTCCCGAACACCCTAGCATTTACTTCTTTTACAACCCCATCTATAAATATATTAGACAACCATGGTGACATTACACATCCCTGTCTAAGACCTACTTTTACCGGGAAGTATTCTCCCTCTCTTCTACACACCCTAACCTGAGCCTCACTATCCTCATAAAAGCTCTTTACAGCATTTAGTAACTTACCACCTATTCCACATACATACTTGCAACATCTGCCACATTGCTCCTCTATCCACTCTATCATATGCCTTTTCTAAATCCATAAATGCAATAAAAACTCCCCTACCTTTATCTAAATACTGTTCGCATATATGCTTCAATGTAAACACTTGATCTACACATCCCCTACCCACTCTGAAGCCTCCCTGCTCATCCGCAATCCTACATTCTGTCTTACCTCTAATTCTTTCAATTATAACCCTACCGTATACTTTTCCTGGTATACTCAGTAAACTTATTCCTCTATAATTTTTACAATCTCTTTTGTCCCCTTTCCCTTTATATAAAGGGACTATACATGCTCTCCGCCAATCCCTAGGTACCTTCCCCTCTTTCATACATTTATTAAACAAAAGTACCAACCACTCCAACACTATATCCCCCCCTGCTTTTAACATTTCTGTCATGATCCCATCAGTTCCAGCTGCTTTACCCCCTTTCATTCTACTTAATGCATCACGTACCTCCACCACACTTACATTCTGCTCTTCTTCACTCCTAAAAGATGGTATACCTCCCTGGCCAGTGCATGAAATTACCGCCTCCCTTTCTTCCTTAACATTTAAAAGTTCCTGAAAATATTCTCGCCATCTACCTAATACCTCCCTCTCCCCATCTACTAACTCCCCTACTTTGTTTTTAACTGACAAATCCATACTTTCCCTAGGCTTTCTTAACTTGTTTAACTCACTCCAAAATTTTTTCTTATTTTCATTAAAATTTCTTGACAGTGCCTCTCCATATATATACATGTATATATTTTTTTTTTTTTTTATTATCACACCGGCCGATTCCCACCAAGGCAGGGTGGCCCGAAAAAGAAAAACTTTCACCATCATTCACTCCATCACTGTCTTGCCAGAAGGGTGCTTTACACTACAGTTTTTAAACTGCAACATTAACACCCCTCCTTCAGAGTGCAGGCACTGTACTTCCCATCTCCAGGACTCAAGTCCGGCCTGCCGGTTTCCCTGAATCCCTTCATAAATGTTACTTTGCTCACACTCCAACAGCACGTCAAGTATTAAAAACCATTTGTCTCCATTCACTCCTATCAAACACGCTCACGCATGCCTGCTGGAAGTCCAAGCCCCTCGCACACAAAACCTCCTTTACCCCCTCCCTCCAACCCTTCCTAGGCCGACCCCTACCCCGCCTTCCTTCCACTACAGACTGATACACTCTTGAAGTCATTCTGTTTCGCTCCATTCTCTCTACATGTCCGAACCACCTCAACAACCCTTCCTCAGCCCTCTGGACATGTATATATATATGTATATATATACATATATATACATACCCCTCTGGGTTTTCTTCTATTTTCTTTCTAGTTCTTATTCTTGTTTATTTCCTCTTATCTCCATGGGGAAGTGGAACAGAATTCTTCCTCCGTAAGCCATGCGTGTTGTAAGAGGCGACTAAAATGCCGGGAGCAAGGGGCTAGTAACCTCTTCTCCTGTATATATTACTAAATGTAAAAAGAGAAACTTTCGTTTTTCCTTTTGGGCCACCCCGCCTCGGTGGGCCACCCCGCCTCGGTGGGATACTGCCGCTGTGTTGAAAGAAAGATTAGTTAATAATGCCCTTATCATGCTTTCTTGGAGTCTGTTCAGATATATATTTTCTAAGATACTACATATATTTTCTAAGATATTGTCTTTCAGGACACTGCAAGTCTAGCCAGTGTGTCTTCATTACCGTCTCCCGCCCTTACTCTCTCATCTGTCGATGCTATCAGCATTGGTCAGTCTCTAGATATACGTCAGGCCGTCCGGGGAGACTATCTTGTCAAGCCACAAGTAGGTTTTGTGTATTTGTTTTTTTGCCATTGCCTAGGTGATGATTTATAAGAGTTTTTCACTGTTGGGAGGAGGGGACACATTATCACTTATAGTATTTTCTGACATTTTTATTATGTAGTTCTTGTACATATTGTTACAGTTTTTTTCATTATGTGGGTAACTGCTTTTGTTGTTAGTTTTTCTATAAAAAATACCATACCTGGGGTATACCTGGAGGATGTTCTGGGGGTCAGTGCCCCCCCTCAGCCTGGTCCTTCAGGCAGACTAATTGTTTATTTACTTATTTAGGGACAGTAGTTATTTGTTTACTTTATTCATATTCAATTTACAATATTTTAAATTTACAATAGGTTTATTGGAACATATCCCCATTGTAAGTCAAGGAACAGCTGCATAGTCCTGACCACAGTAACAAATAAATTATATTTATATTAATTCTTGTAAACTTTGTAACAAATTATCCATCACTTGATTGAATAACTGTGCCCTTTATATATTTAGGATTCAGAAAATGCTAAAGCAGTGGGTCCAAGTGCTGAAGAAATAGCGAGATTAGAAGCCGAGGACACCACCAGCCAGGCCTCCACACCAGAGGTGTCCCGTGCCCCAAGTCGTCTAGCTAACTCGAGCCACCAGCCTTCACCAGCTGGGGGAACCCCCAGTACTCCAGGCACGCCTGGCTCTATTCCATCAGATACTCCGACATCAGGTGAGAAGAAGTGATAAAACAATTTGAAATATTTGTAAACGTTGCGAATAGTTGTAAAGTACAAACACTGGCCATGTAGCAAATGATTGCCAACAACTTGAGGACACTTGGCAAACGCATTCACATAGGACACCTCAAAATTGAAGGCGGACTTTGATCACTTCAAATTCATTGAATTTGAAGCGCTCAAGGTTCATTGTGTCCTGAATGTATTCCTGCTCGTTTACCATTACCCATCCTATCTAAAGATTATCCTTGTGACTTTCTTTGAAGTTTGTTCTTCAACCCTGGCAGCCCGGCCTGACTTGTTTATTCAGCATACTGAAGAAGGGGTGTTAATGTTGCAGTTTAAAAACTAGTGTAAAGCACCCTTCCGGCAAGACAGTGATGGAGTAAATGATGGTGAAAGTTTTTCTTTTTCGGGCCACCCTGCCTTGGTGGGAATCGGCCAGTGTGTTAATGTTGCAGTTTAAAAACTGTAGTGTAAAGCACCCTTCTGGCAAGACAGTGATGGAGTAAATGATGGTGAAAGTTTTTCTTTTTCGGGCCACCCTGCCTTGGTGGGAATCGGCCAGTGTGATAATAAAAAAAAAAATAATACTTTTATCTTTCAAATTGAGCTTTTTATTTCTTTTACGCAGTACACATAATATAGTTGACATGCTAGCTGGACTTGAGTCGAGGTGAGACGTATAATGTCTGCATTCTAAAGGACGGGGTTGGGATATTTGCTATTTGGAGGGACATTTGAACTGTTGTATCTGTGTACCTCTGGCAAGACAGTGATGGTGAAAGTGTTTCTTTTTCGGGAGACGGCCACCTGGTTAAAAAAATAATGTAATAAAATATTGTTAGGCTCAAAAGAAAGCCGCCATTATGCAATATGTTTCAGACCAACTAATCCTAATGATTGAAGACTACTTAAGAACTAGACAGCAATACGTTTCAGACCAATTGAAGACTACTTAAGAACTAGACAGACCAATTGAAGACTACTTAAGAACTAGACAGACTAATTGAAAACTACTTAAGAACTAGACAGACCAATTGAAGACTACTTAAGAACTAGACAGACCAATTGAAGACTACTTAAGAACTAGACAGACCAATTGAAGACTACTTAAGAACTAGACAGACCAATTGAAGACTACTTAAGAACTAGACAGATTATTTAGAGGATTTCTTAGTAACTGTGTTTCTGTATAGGAGGTTCACAATTTAAAAATTAATTGTACTCCTATTGTTCCAACTTGCATGCCAGTTGTTTGTACTGGAAGGAGTCTTTCAGGATATTTTATTCAGTCAAGAGTGCAGGCACTGTGGTTAATGTACCTTTTTGTGAGTGCTGGTTTGTAGCTGCAGAAGTAGAATTAAGCTTGCGGTGTCCCGGTGAATAACAAAAAAAGGCACAATACCGTGACTGGAACGATACACAAATAACCCGCACATGAAAGAGAGAAGCTTACGACGACGTTTCGGTCCGACTTGGACCATTTACAAAGTCACCGGTGGCCTGGTAGCTAAAGCTCTCGCTTCACACACGGAGGCCCGGGTTTGATTCCCAGCGGGTGGAAACATTTTGACACATTTCCTTACATCTGTTGTCCAGTTCACCTAGCAGCAAATAGGTACCTGGGTGTTAGTCGACTGGTGTGGGTCACATCCTGGGAGACAAGATTGAGGACCACAATGGAAATAAGTTAGACAGTCCTCGATGACGCACTGACTTTCTTGGGTTATCCTGGGTGGCTAACCCTCTGGGGTTAAAAATCTGAATGAAATCTTATCTTATCTTATACTGCAGGAGTAGAGTTAAGCTTGTAGTGTGTCGTAAAGTTTTTTTTAAAGATTCTTGTGGTAGCATTCCCTAACTCTTGTAAACCATTCCTTTGAACATTATAGAAAACCTCCTACTCAGTAAACTATATCTAATTCTTAAGTAGTCTACCTGAAGGGTATTCTGAGGGTCAACGTCCCTGCAGCCTGGTCCATGACCAGGCCTCCCGGTGGATCAGGGCCTGATCAACCAGGTTGTTACTGCTGGTCACACGTAGTGCATGTGTAAGCATTAGGATTAGTCTGCCCGAAATGGATTGCATGCTAGTGGCTTTCTTTTGTAAGAACATAAGAAAGAAGGGACACTGCAGCAGGCCTAATGGCCCAAACTGGTCAGGTCCAACTCACACCCATTTATGTACTTGTCTAACCTATTTTTAAAGCTACACAATATTTCAGCTTCAACGATATTACTCAGGAGTTTGTTCCACTCATCCACAACATGCTTAACAATATTTTATTCAATATTGATTATGTTTTTTATTACACAGGCTGGCCGATTCCCAAGGCAGGTGCCCAAAAAACATAAAAATTTCACCAACATTACCTCCATCACTGCTTGCAAAAGTCTTTACACTACAGTTTTTTAAACTGCACATTCAACACTCCCAAGAGACATCCACTACTTCCCCATCCGGCCAAGCGGCCTGCGTTTCTAAACGCCTTAAAATACTTTCTTACAGTAACTGCATTTTGTTGATCTCCAGATAATTACAGCCTGTCGTTTTCCACTGATACAGACCGCTTCATAATGTTAGTTTGCTTACAGCTGTAAACCGCTTTTGTTAGGTTTGGCAGATAGAATAAAGTTGATTGCTTGGTTTCATGGTACTGCTAAGGAGGGCTCTGCTTATACGGCAGGTTAGGTTCTGGGCTACTGCTGTATAGGAGGGCCCCGCTTATACGGCAGGTTAGGTTCTGGGCTACTGCTGTATAGGAGGGCCCCGCTTATACGGCAGGTTAGGTTCTGGGCCACCCCTGTATACTGTACTTTATACTTATTGTTTACTGGTATTACAGATGCTGGAGCCAGTCCTGCCTCAAGTAGTGAGGGACAGATGAAGCAACTTAACCTGATGGTGCGAACGCGATCAGACTCGGGCAAAGAATTGTCTGATGCTGTAAGTTGTATTGACATTGCCGGTATACACTTCGTTCTTCGGATTCTAACTTTATTGGTATACACTTTATCCTCGGGATTCTAATAATGGATAAAGTAGCATTGTGTTAGGCTCAGCTTACCTTTCTTGAAGAATTCTGAAATAGTCATCATAGTGTTAAATGTAATGTTTTGATGTCGCTTTTTTGCACAACAAATCATTACTCGTGTCTAAATCCTTTTCTCCCTTTTCTTTACTAACAAAGATGTTTCTTGGCATATATGACATTTAGATTTCTTTTTCTGCAAATTGGATCTCTGTTTCTCCTTCTGTGGCCATTTCATGCTTACATATCTTAACTCTAAGTCAGAGGTCGGGGAACCAGGGTAAATTACCCCAAATGAAAATGAAAATCTCAGGGGTAATGAAGGTTTAGTAAAATTTTAAAATTTGTTTTTTTTTTTTTTTTTTCAACATAGTCGGTCGTTCCCACCGAGTAGGTTTTGAAATATATGGAATATTGCGCATTTGTCTATTGTTCCATCATAGAAATTATCAGTTTATATGTTTTCACTAACGACCAAGATTTTTACAGAGGGCCGGGGGGTTAATTTTGACTCATAAGCAAATTTAAGTTTTTTATCCAAAAAACTATTTTTAGCTCTAGTGGATTTTGCATTTGTTTTGTTTTTGGATTGCTTAAGTGGCATTTTTTTTGTTTTAAACTAAAAACTTACATCTCCTCTCTTTGAAGGAATGGTTTTTGCAGTCTCCCGTTGACTTTGATGCCTTCATGAGTGACAAAGTGAGTTTGTTTGGTAATGTAAGGCATTTTAGCTTTCCTCATAATAGCATTAGTTTTGTGTGTGTGTGTGTGTGTGTGTGTGTGTGTGTGTGTGTGTGTGTGTGTGTGTGTGTGTGTGTGTGTGTCTGTGTGTCTGTGTGTGTGTCATGTCTAGTCCCATACTATTGTTGTTTGTGTGTTTGTGCAGTTTTAAGTTCCGTAGCATTCCTCTGTGTGTGTGCAAGTGTGTGCTCACTTACTCACCTATGTGTGGTTGCAGGGATCGTCAGTGTTTGTTTGCATGCGTGCATATGTATGCACATATGTGTGTGCATGTATGCGTGTGTGTGTCAGTTTCTAGCACCTAATTCCCTACATTCTCATTCTCTCTGAGTATGTTTATCTCTGTGTGTGTGTCGTGTACCATAACATTGTCAAGTGCTTATTGACACTTTCTTTACGATATATTATACTGATTATTACAACCCAGGAGTCCCAAAGGCCTGTTATCCTGGGTGTAAAGGGAGCAAAATAAACACAGCAGAAAAACTTTTAACTTGTATTATCATTGACCAATTTAGAACAGAAGTATGTACACTATATACACTATGTAACAACAATAGGTATTAGTGAACTCCACGGTAAGCAAGGCAGAATAACGCCACTAGAGAGCAGACCGTGCTTCAACCAGCACTAGAATGGGAATGACAAGGGCAGACAGGTGAGTGGCACCCACATCACCTCTGTGATTGCCAAAACCATCTTCTCATTGGCTGGAACCTGGATACTGATTGAACGATGGGGCCCCATCATCAACCCTTAGCACCTGGTTCGCTGGTTGGGGGAGATAGCCTTTCAATGAGGGTGTGTACATGTGCCGAATAAAGGTTACATACTCTTTGCATGCCACACTGATTATTACACTTAATTAAGAAGACATGTCATCCGCCTGGGATTTTATCAATTCTCACCACAAGAATTAATCAAGTTCTCAATAAAATGCCATAAACCGCATACTGTATCTTATTAACATGCTGATTATTTTATGAGGGATTAATACAGGGGGTCCTCTGATTTACAAACCGTTATTTTGTTTTTGATGAACCGGCCTCATCCCACCGAGGCAGGGTGACCTAATTTATACAGGAGAAACAGGTGCTCTCGGCATTTTAGTTTGCCTCTTATGATACGCATGGCTTACGGAGGAACAATTCTTTTCTACTTCCCCATAGAGATAAGAGAAGATAAAGAAGAACAAGAACAATAGTATTAAGAAAATAGTAGAAAACCCAGATGGGTGCATAAATGTATATGAGTGTATATACATGCATGTGTAGTGTGACCCAAGTGGAAGTATAAGTAGCAAGATATACCTGACAAACCAGTTCCTAATTTCTCAAGTTACAAACAAATTGTTCCTAATTTCTCAACATACAAATGAGTTATGTTCCTAATTTCTCAGTGTACTAATGAGTTATGTTCCTAATTTCTCAACTTACAAACCAGTTATGTTCCTAATTTCTCAAGTTACAAATGAGTTAATTTGTATAGAAAAACTACAGCACAAATTATAGTTATATTCCATCAGTTGCTAGTGTCTTTTTCTGTCTCATAAACATGTATGTCTTGCTACTTCTACTTAGGTCACACTACACATGCATGTACAAGCATATATATACATACCCCTCTGGGTTTTCTTCATTTTTCTTACTAGTTCTTGTTCTTGTTTATTTCCTCTTATCTCAATTGGGAAGTGGAACAGAATTCTTCCTCCGTAAGCCATGCTGTCGTAAGAGGCGACTAAAATGCAGGGAGCAAGGGGCTATTAACCCCTGCCTTGGTGGGAAATGGTCCATTTGTTAAAGAAAGAAGATTTCACCATTGCTGCAATCTGACTCATTAGTTACAAAACTTGAATTAGGTCATAAGTATCCTCTTTGTAAGTGTGGATGTGTGTAACTTGTGTTTGTAAGTGTGGATATAACTTGAGGTGTGTGGATGTGTGAAACTTCTGGTGTTTGTAAGTGTTGATATAACTTGAGGTGTGTAGATGTGTGTAACTTCGGGTGTTTATGTGGACCTCCTGTATGATGTTCTGTTATTATGTCCTTTATTTTAGATGATACACACTACAGTTGCAATGCCATAGCAGTTTAGTACCCTAACAACACCTAGCACCTAGCTGTTGTGTGTGTGTGTGTGTGTGTGTGTGTGTGTGTGTGTGTGTGTGTGCATGTGTGTGTGTGTGTGTGTGTGTGTGTGTGTGTGTGTGTGTGTGTGTGTGTGTGTGTGTGTGTGTGTGTATAAGTCTACCACCAGTAATTACAACTCTGGAGGGTTAATATTATTCTGTGCTCTTCTGTTTTCTGCACAAACTACTGTAATGCAATACGTCTTTGGATTTGAGTTTCTCTTAAGCAAAATAAGAATGTGAATTGATAATTTTTAAAGGCTAAGAATTTTTTGACTCGCAAAAAGTAATGAATTTTGTATATTTTCTCAGCTTATCATAACACAATGAAGAATAAATAATTGTCAAGAGCAAATGGTGATGTTCCCGTATTTTCATATTGAAATAAATTTCCAATAACGTTCTTTAGTGATTGAAATTTTGGAGTCAATATAATCTGCTTCATCAGGGTGGTGCCTTGTTGCTGGCGAAGGGCTCTTGATCCGAAAAATGGAGCATCTATCTTTCTTGGGTCGGACCTGGTTTCCTCCTCTCCTCCCCCAGGTGCTATATGACACCTGTGGGTTTAGCACTTCCCTAAGAATATAATAATAAAGGTGAAGCTGGAATAAGTACTGTAAAAAAAAGTCTTTTAGATAATTTTCATACCCAGTTGAGCCTTCGTAAGTCTGTAGTGTCGAACCAAACATCGGAAGTAAAGTCTTTTACTGTACAGTGGACCCCCGCATAACGATCACCTCCGAATGCGACCAATTATGTAAGTGTATTTATGTAAGTGCGTTTGTACGTGTATGTTTGGGGGTCTGAAATGGACTAATCTACTTCACAATATTCCTTATGGGAACAAATTCGGTCAGTACTGGCACCTGAACATACTTCTGGAGTGAAAAAATATCGTTAACCGGGGGTCCACTGTATTATTGTACAACCAGGGCTCGATTAGTGTGAATAATGAGTGACTTGGAGCGGTCGCATTATTTGAATTTGTGCTATTCAAATTGTGTGTATTTTTTTTGCACATGATTTGTAGAGTTTGGAGAAAAAATTAGCATTAATTAATTTTGCACTACGTCTAAATTTATGCTGTTTGAATTATGTAATTTTCGCTCACAGTTTGTAGAGTTTTGAGGAAAAGTATTAATTAATTTCACAATAAATCTAAATTCACACTATTTGAACTCTCAGTAGTCGAGATCTGGCTGTATTCTCGAGAGGAATTAAACCCATAAGGGTCATATAGGGCCAGGGGAATAGGAGGTAATCAGGATTCTTCTGAGGAAGAGTAAAATAACTCAAGTTCCCAGCATCAAGGGCCCTTCAATGGTATCAAGGCACCCTTGTTGAAGGCTTGCACTGCATTATACATCTTGTTGCCTCGGTCACGGTCGTCGATGAGTGTATTGTTCCCTGTTAATCATTGTCAAGTCACAACTGAAAGAGACACTGCAAATCATAACTGAAATAATTTTTTTAAACACAGTGGCTATCTCTCATCAAGGAAGGGTAACCCTTCGAAAAAGGAAACACGTTCACTGTCATTCAATCACTGTCTTGCCTGAAGTGTGCTTACATCACAGCTCAGATGACTCTCTGAATTGCAAGACTCTTCCCCCTTCTTTAGAGTCCAGGCACTGTACTTTATACCACCAGGAATTAATAAATTGTATGTCAAAAAAATTGTGATGTCAGCACATTTTTGGAAAAGCAGCTATTAAATGAATGATGGTGAAATAGTTTTCTTCCTTGGGGTCACCTTGCTTCATCGGGAGACAGCCATTGAGGTAAGGAAAAAAAAACCCACCTCAGAATCCCCTCATCCCTCTGAAATGTCAAAACATGCAATTTCGTATAACACAGCGATCGTTTTTTGCAGGAAATTTTGAAACAAGTGACTGTGCTGAACCTTGACACAGGGGAGAGGATTCCTCTTAGTGATGCAGAAAACTGTTTACCACAGGCTCTCAATCCTCTCTCTCTCCACATCATGAGACTTACCAGCGAATACGTCAGGTGTGTGGAATTGCATTTTATTTGTTAGGAGCATCTCCAGTCATTAGTATTAACGTTATAAACTTAAGTTATTTCTTGCATAAATTTTTTTCTGGGGGAAAGGGGAAAAAAAATTAAAATTGCATCTTCTGTCCTGTTAAATTAGACACATGTGCAACTCTTGGGTATCTTTATTGAGGAAATGTTTCGCCACATAGTGGTTTCATCAGTCCATACAAAGGATAAACTTGAAGAACAGGAGGAGAATGAGGTAATCAGTCCCTCAGCCTTGAGTCGATGTGGTCAGTCCATCAATCTTGGTATTCTATTCAAGATTGATGGACTGACCACATTGACTCAAGGCTGAGGGACTGATTACTTCATTCTCCTCCTGTTCTTCAAGTTTATCCTTTGTATGGACTGATGAAGCCACTATGTGGCAAAACGTTTCCTCAATAAAGATACCCAAGAGTTGCACATGTGTCTAATTTAACAACATGTCGATTCTTTGAACCATTCAACTACAATCTTCTGTCCTGTCATCTTGTTCTGATGGGACAAGTAGGAGTCAAATTTCCAGTGACTCATAACAATTTAATTTTATTTATGCCTATTTGTATATGGGCTTATGTAAGTGCACAGTAGTGTATATCACTGGTCTGTGCTCAGGTTTATTGGTATGTGTATAGTGTAGATATAGAATGCACAGTAATGTATATGATTGGTCTGTATATTTAATAAGTTTACTGGTTTGTAAACGTAGGAGGTTGCACTATAATCGCAGACAGGCGATCTTAACAATGCAGAACAAGCCACATGGGGATGGAAATCTTTAGCTCAAGATCTTTCACACTGTACATCTTCAGGAGCTGTGCAGCATTACAAGGCTAGCAACAGATAATAGGGATTGTAACATGGCCCAATACTTTATGCTTCTGCCTTGCTTCAGAGAGAATTTTTCCCTTATTGTCTGTTGCTAGCCAGGCAACATGGCATAGCTCCTGATGACGCAAAGAATGCGAAAGATCGTGAGCTAAAGATTTCCATCCTCATATGTCTTGTTCTACATATAGGAGGTTGTGTAGATGTTAGAGTGCATAGTAACATATGACTGGCCTGTATGTTTGTCACAAGGTTGAATCACTGTAGCACTTTGTGGCTTGCTACTCTCTCCATCCTTCTCTATCTTTGCTTGTTCATCAAGCTGCTTCAACTCTGGTGAAATTCTCATCACAGGACTCAAGTAATTCCACTAAATCTTGGCTAAGTTGAAATTAAATGCTCCATTTCACCAGAAGTAGTACGAATCAAAACTCCTCCCTTGCAATGCTTTGGGAGTTATACCTTAACATTATAACTACTTTCTGAGAATTCTTCTTCTCAAAGTTGATCTCATGAGATCCAGCACACCTATCACCTGTTCTCTTACTGATGTTGAAGTACGGGTGCTTCTCAACTTACGATGGGGTCACGTTCCGACGAACCCATCGTAATTCAAAAATATAGTAAGTCGAATATGAATTTTTTTTATGATAAATAAGTAAATAAACAACTTCTGTCACTGAATAAGTAAATAAATAATTACTGTAACTGACGGAAAATATATGAATACAAGTTATCCTATCAGTAAATATACAGTACTGTTCAGTACCAAAAAAAAAAAAAAAATTTTTCCAGTTTTATCGCACCATCGTAAAGTTGAAATTCGATGGTAAAGTTGAAATTCCATCGTAAAGTTGAAATTCCATCGTAAAGTTGAAATTCCATCGTAAAGTTGAAATTTCATAAGTCAAACCATTGTAAAGCGAGCAGCATCTGTACTGTATCTGCTAGGTTCCTACAGCGCCTTGGGTATGGGAGAGTAATCATGTTTGATCTGAGGAATGTGAGGGGTAACTCTGATTCCTTGACATTCAAGTCCAGTACTAAGGTACCTTTCCATTTCTCCAAGTGTTTTTTCCAAATGTAACTCTAGCAACAGCAGCATCAAGATCTGAACCATCAGGATATTTTGTAGCCTTGTTATGCGACACAGTTATGTATACAGTACCGTGGGTTTGTCCAGAACATGAAGGTTTGCGATATATTTTATTCTTAGCATCAGCATGGTGTAAAATAAATAATTAAAGTGTTATGAAAACTTGTCAGTGCTCAGTAATAACCCACATGGAGAAAAACTCAAGAGATTGTTTGATCTGTGTATTCTGACCCCCTTCTGGGATCCTCTTCATCTGCTGAAGAGGATCCCAGAAGGGGGTCAAAATATACAGACCAATCAAACTCCTGAGTTTCTTTCTTCATGTGAATTATTATTAAGCATGGGATAAAACATCTACGTTGGCATCTAAAGTAATATTCTTTTTCCGTGGCTTTAAGTCATGCTTTTTGCCACTTGATAGTGCTTTGTGGCTCATTTTGGATAAGGGGAAATTTTGAGTTTGTGCTGTGAAGCTGGAACCCACAGCACACTGTTTGGCCTTGCTTCCTTCATGCAGTTTCTCATGAATTCTTATGAGTCAGAACAACAGCAAAAATTGTGGAGTAAATCTTGCTATTTTGCAGAGTGAGTCTGTCTTGCTAAGTAAGTCTGTCTTGCCAAGATAAGTCTTGCTATCTTGCAGAGTGAGTCTGTCTTGCTAAGTCTGTCTTGCCAAATAGCTTCTATCTGCATGAGTGAGTCTGTCTGCAAGTGAATCTTCTATCTTGCCAAGATAGTCTTGCTATCTTGCATAGTGTCTATCTTGCTAAGTGAGTCTCTCAGTCTTGCTAAGAGAGTCTTGGTATCGTGTCAAATGAATCTATGTATCTTATTGGGCATCTCCACCACCCTGGTGAGTAAGCTCTATGCAGAGTGAGTTCATTTGCTCATCCCAGGATGGGCACATCCCCCCATCTCTCGTGATGAGTGAGGTCGTTGTATGAGGCAGTCATTCTGAGAGCACTGCTCCTGTGTTCCTAAATATTCTTCAAAATTGCATTTTGCAAAATTTTATTCTAGGATGATGGTATTGGTATGCAAAAAAAAAAAAAGAAGAAAGTATAAGGAAAATTAATTTCTTGAATTCAGCATAAAGATATGGATAGTAATTAGTCACCCTTACAAATCAGATTCGTGAGTACCACTGTTCGTAACTTGGATGCTTGTTGGCAGTGTTATTTTGGTATTTGCAAATTGCTATGCCATAAGTGGAGGTGGTGGAAAGGTATTAGGCAGTCTAGATAAACCAACAATCTTGTGCAGGTGCTCCTTGACTTACGATGGTGCAGAAGCAATTACTCTGGAGGTGAAACTTGAGATAATTACCCAGCAGGAAATCTGTTGTAATTTGTATACATTTGTTTACCTTTCAATATTGGTATTTAGTTAGTTATGGTAATTATTTATTTATTCAGTGACAGTTATTTATTTAGCATACTATATTCATATTCGACTTATGATATTTTCTACTTATGATGGTACATTGGAACATTACCCCATTGTAGTCAAGGAGCACCTGCAATTCTTCCCAGCCTCATTATTAAAATAACATTGGTAGAATTACTGACAATATGATAAGTAAAACCTAGGTAGTAGGTTGGTAAACAGCAATCGCCCAGGGAGGTACTACTGTCCTGCCAAGTGAGTGTACAACGAAAACCTGTGATTGTTTTACATGATGGTAGGATTGCTGGTGTCTTTTGTGTGTCTCATAAACATGCAAGATTACAGGTACGTCTTGCTACTTCTACTTGCACTTAGGTCACACTACGCATACATGTACAAACATATATATACACACCCCTCTAGGTATTCTTCTATTTTCTTTCTAGCTCTTGTTCTTGTTTATTTCCTCTTATCTCCATGGGGAAGTGAAACAGAATTCTTCCTCCGTAAGCCATGCGTGTTGTAAGAGGCGACTAAAATGCCGGGAGCAAGGGGCTAGTAACCCCTTCTCCCGTATAAATTACTAAATTTAGAAGAGAAACTTTCGTTTTTCTTTTTGGGCCACCCTGCCTTGGTGGGATACGGCCGGTGTGTTGAAAGAAAGAAAGAAATGATAAGTAAAAGGCATGTGCAGCTAATGAGATATTTTATTGTGGCAACGTTTCGCTCTCCAGGAGGTTTGTCAAGCCGTTACCTGCTTGACAAAGCTCCTGGAGAGCGGAACGTTGTCACAAAGAAGTGTCACATTAGTTGCACTTGTGTTCTTTTACCCAACACATTCTTTGAAGACTCCAAAAATTTAAGTGTATTAACTGTAAAGAAGTTAGGGTTACAGTTTCCCATAAGGACTGCAGTAGGAACCCAAACCTTCGATGTAAACCTGATAACAGTCCTTTAATGGTAACTAAGGATGAATACAACCCACTACCATGCACCAACTTCCCTGTAACTACCACTGCCACCACCACTGCAGCCCACTGCCAATCACTGCTACATGCCACTACTGCTGCCACTGCTCGCAAAAACTCAAATAAACATTTTAACTATTGGGACTGCATCGAAGCTCTCAGAAAGTGCTCTCTTGATTAAGAAAAGAGAGTTTTCTCAGAATTTTTAAATGAAAATATTTACAGTACATGAACTAAGTCATGAGTGTCATAAGAGGCAACTAAAATGCTGGGAACAATGGACTAGTAACGCCTCCTCCTGCAGGTGCCATTACTGAACGAATTTGTTCCCATAAGGAATATTGTGAATTAGATTAGTCCATTTCAGACCCCCAAACATACATGTACAAACGCACTTACATAAATACACTTACATAATTGGTCGCATTGGGAGCTGATCGTAAAGCGGGGGTCCACTGTAATAAATTTAATTTTCATTTTAGGTCACCTTAACTCAGTGGGATACACCCAGTGTGTTTATAAAAAAAACATGCAATAAGCTGACACAGTAAATCTTCAACACGTTCAAATTCGAATTCTTTATTGCAGCCGTATGCAACGTTTGTACCGAGATGGGTGATATTTGGGTATACATGCAGAAAACCCATAGTATGCAGAGCATTACGGACAGACTTGAGCCTGTCTTAAGACTAAAAAGGCGGTAGTTATTTGATTCAAATGTATATTGTCTCGAGTGGTTTTGTCGTAGGCAAAATCATTACTAAAAGCTATTTTTCACTCGAGAGCTTTATGAAGTTACTGATGAAACTGCCAAGGAGCAAAAAATGTTTTTAAAACAGACTTGATTTGTTTTTCTTTGATTTAAATGTTATTTTTAAACACACCGGCCGTCTCCCACCTCGGTAAGGTGACCTGAAAAAGAAGCAGCACTTTCATCATCACTTACTAAGGTCCTCTATATAGTGTGAATTTTTTTTATGTTAAGCCATTGAAAAAATGCTACTTTTTGGAAGCACTTACTTAGTAGGCCTTTCAATGCACTATTCGATTTTGGATTACTTTTTCAGTTGCATTTTTAAAAAATCAGAGTTTATAGATATATACTATATATATATATATATATATATACAGAGGAGCTTTATAAGCTTATTCAGGTCATTGACACTTAATTCTGCATTGTAAGATTTTTTTTTTTTTTTTGCAAGCTGCACTGATTGCATACTGCAAGTGTATATATCACACACACAAAGTTACTTTAGAAATGGAACGTAGAATAATAGCATATTTGCATACAACAAATCCACATGAAGCAAGAGAAATATGTATTAGCCAGTACAAATTTGTATAGGTAATATTTTGTGTATCAAATTTTGGTTTGGCTTGTTAGGTTAATTTAGGTAGACCATTCATCCTAACCTATCCTATCTTACCCTAACTACTACTAACTGATAAAAAATACTTCTAACCACTACTACTAACCATTACTACTACTAACCACTACTACTAACTGCTACTAACCACTACTGCTACTAACCACTACTGCTACTAACCACTACTGCTACTAACCACCACTACTACTACTAAGCACTACTACTACTAACCACTACTACTGCTAAGCACTACTGCTACTAACCACTACTACTACTACTAACCAATACTACTGCTACTAACCACTACTACTACTAACCACTACTACTGCTAAGCACTACTGCTACTAACCACTACTACTGCTAAGCACTACTGCTACTAACCACTACTACTAACCACTACTACTAACCACTACTGCTACTAACCACCACTACTACTAACCACTACTGCTACTAAACTACTATACTACTAACATACTAAGCACTACTATATACTAACCACTACACTGCTAACACTACTGCTACTAACCACTACTACTACTACTAACCACTACTACTAACCACTACTACTAACCACTACTGCTACTAACCACCACTACTACTAACCACTACTGCTACTAACTACTACTACTACTGCTAAGCACTACTGTTACTAACCACTACTGCTAACCACTACTGCTACTAACCACTACTACTGCTAAGCACTACTGCTACTAACCACTACTACTACTAACCACTACTGCTACTAACCACTACTACTGCTGAGCACTACTGTTACTAACCACTACTACTAACCACTACTACTACTACTAAGCACTACTACTACTAACCAATACTACTGCTACTAACCACTACTACTACTACTACTAACCACTACTACTACTACTACTAACCACTACTACTGCTAAGCACTACTATTACTAACCACTACTCCTAACCACTACTACTGCTAAGCATTACTATTACTCACCACTACTACTACTACTACTAACTACTACTACTACTCCTAACTACTACTACTACTAACCACTACTACTACTACTACTACTACTACTACTGTTCTTGCTTTTCCTCCTCCTTCATAACTACATTCGTGTCCACTTCCCTCAAGTTGTTTTTGTCAGTCATTTACCGTCTTACTACACGAAGGCATTCATTGCATCAGCCAGTTCCTCATTCACATTCGTCATGTCACCCTTAATTATATGTGAATGCTAGTTTTTCTTCATTATACGTGAACGCTAGTTTTCCTTCATTGATAAGCGAGGACCCGTGTAGTAATGAATGAAGAATTCACTAGGATGCTTATTAAGTCACCCCAGATTTGCTTGGTCACCCCTCTGTTCTTGATTTTGTTAAGTCACCCTCTAATCTCCCAGATTTGGTCTCCTCCTTTATTGTTGATTTTGCTAAGTCACCCTCTGATCTCCCAGATTTGCTTGGCTACCCTTCTAGTCTTGATTTCATTAAGTCACCCTCAAGTCTCCCAGATTTGCTTGGTTACCCCTCCAGTCTTGATTTTATTAAGTCACCCTCTAGTCTCCCAGATTTTTACCTTCGCACCAGAATTTAATTTTTCTCCACCACCAACCCATCAGTGGGTTAGATGGTTGCCCGTCAGTCTAAGGAATGTAGTTAAGTACCCAATCTCCTAGATGTCTCATTTACCCTCCCATTCCAAAGTCACCCTACAGATGTAGCATTCCCAAATGAAAATTTTTTAACAACATATGAAGTGGTACTCAGTTAGGTGGAAGTTGTCTTTCATTTTAGAGCAGTAAGCCTTATGAGTTTATCCTCTGTATGTGCCATTTTTTAGTAAATATACTTCATGAAATCGATTGCAAAATTTGTAAAAAAACATGGATACCGGATGGGGTTTGAACCCATAGTAAGTTGAGTCATTTAACTCCATGCCAGTATGCATGGCTAGGAATTGTTTATTTGAACTTGCCATGATTCAAACCCCACTGTTCTGTGCCTATTTAATTCAATGAAAAAGGCATCCCATCTGTATAGCATGTAGAAAGTGCTTCCATGGTTCAAACACTTTCTCATTTTGATGCAACTTTTGCAGGTTGCCATTTGCATAAAAATTCATGGCATGTATTTTATTTGGAGCAGAAGTGATCTGCAAATTTAAATGTAGCTCTATTCTCCTTTATAAAGGAATACTATTATAAAAGTCCTTTTTGAAAATGCTTGAAGATATTATATTTACATGCATGTGAAGTGATAAACACGTGTGGGTCATCCAGCATAAGGAGAAACGTGTGGTCAGGAGAGTCCGATCCTCCATCTGCTAAGTATGAGAAGTGGATCTTGCTGTACTTAGACGAAGTATACATAGATCTTACTGTACCCAGATAAAGTATACATAGATCTTACTGTACCTAGCTACAGAATACATGTACATAACTGTTTGTAGCCTTTTTTGTCTCTCATTTTCTACCAGAAGAAGTGTGTCATGCAATGGAACACTAAGGAATACAAAGGAATACAAAGAACAATGGACCTTTGAGTCCAGACAAAGCTGCTTGTCTAATGGGAGTCTTGAGTCAACACGAACAATGTAAGTCGTGGATTTGTAGAAAGGTGTAGATCCCTATACCCCTGAATAACGATATCCGTGGTACTGCTTTCTGTTGAGAAGGATAATGGTTAGAGGACCATGATGGCTGGAATAGTTTGTAACTAACCCACGAATTGGAGATCAATTTTTAGATGGGTTGGTTCATCCTGGACCATAGGGTTGGGACTTCATAATGGTCCATCACTAGCCAAAATCTCATTTTTTTTTTAACATGCTGGCTGTCTGGAGATAAATGGTATAAAATACTGGCATGATAGGAAAACAGGCACAAATGTAGTATATATTGCAATCCTTTATTGACTATATTTTGCCCACACAGTGGGCAGTAAAGCCCATTGTGTGGGTGAAATAGTTAATAAAGTACTGCATTATACTACGTATGTGTCTATTTTTCTATAGTGGCCTTCTCAAAATGAGATAGTGACCCCCCCCAAAAAGAAACACATTAACCATCAGTCATTCAGTTGCTGTCTTGCCAAAAGCATGGTGACATCACCATTCAGATGGTCATCCAAACTGCAACATTCAGCTCCATCCTTTAGAGTTCAATTATGTGCCTCTGTAATCCTTAGACTTTCTTCACAGGATGGGTATAAAGTACATAATTAAGATGCTAAATTAACCAGAGTGCAGGCACTGTACTTCCCACCTTCAGGACTCAACTCTGGCTGATTGATTTCCTTCAGGACTCAACTCTGGCTGATTGATTTCCTTCAGGACTCAACTCTGGCTGATTGATTTCCTTCAGGACTCAACTCTGTCTGATTGATTTCCTTCAGGACTCAACTCTGGCTGATTGATTTCCTTCAGGACTCAACTCTGGCTGATTGATTTCCTTCAGGGCTCAACTCTGGCTGATTGATTTCCTTCAGGACTCAACTCTGGCTGATTGATTTCCTTCAGGACTCAACTCTGGCTGATTGATTTCCTTCAGGACTCAACTCTGGCTGATTGATTTCCTTCAGGACTCAACTCTGGCTGATTGATTTCCTTCAGGACTCAACTCTGGCTGATTGATTTCCCTGAATCGCTTCATAAATGTTACCTCGCTCACACTCCAACAGCGTGTGAAGCCTCACAAAACCACTCGCCTCCACTTACTCTGATCTAACACGCTCAAACAAATTGTATAAAAATTTATTTCCAATTTATGGGTTAAGTTTTTGTGAATTTCTCTCTGCTGTATTTCACGAAGCACTAAACTTGTAGGGGGTCATTCAGCCAAAGTAGCGGAGGCGGCTTGACCCTTCATCTGCTAATTGTGGTGCTGTCTATCAGGCTGAAGGTGGCACTCTACTTCTGGGGAACTTTCATCTCAGTTTACCTCTCAATTAAGTAAACTTTATTTCTTTCTTCAGTATTGTAAAATGCACTTTACATGTAGTAAAGTATTGTTAAGTATTTACATGTAGTAAAGTATTGTTAAGCACAAAAGAAAGTCAGTAGCATACGGTGCATTTCGGGCAGACTAATCCTAATGCTTATATACACAGCTTAACAACTAGACACAGTTTACTGTGTAGGAATTTTTTTTTTTTTTTTTGTTCAAAAGTGAGGTAAACCATCCAACAATTCTCACTTGAAAAGGTTGTCCAAGGTGTTTTCTGTACCAAGATGCCACGTGTTGCAGTGTCTGACAAGATGAACATCTGACCGCGGGTTCAGTCCCGCCCGTGGTATGGTTTGTTTGCAATCGTGTCATTACAATTTCGTGAGTCAAAAGTGAGGTAGCCAGGTGAACAATAGCACAATTTTAAGTATATTTTGCTCAATTGGACTCGCACTATTTTCCTACAATAATTTTCCCACAATAATTTTCCCACAATAATTTTCCCACATTAATTTTCCCACAACTTTCCCACAATAATTTTCCCACAACAATTTTCCCACAATAATTTTCCCACAATAATGTTCCCACAATAATGTTCCCACAATAATTTTCCCACAATTTTCCCACAATTTTCCCACATTAATTTTCCCACAATTTTCCCACAATAATTTTCCCACAACAATTTTCCCACAATAATTTTCCCACAATAATGTTCCCACAATAATGTTCCCACAATTTTCCCACAATTTTCCCACAATAATTTTCCCACAACAATTTTCCCACAACAATTTTCCCACAATAATGTTCCCACAATAATGTTCCCACAATAATTTTCCCACAATTTTCCCACAATAATTTTCCCACAATTTTCCCACAATAATTTTCCCACAATTTTCCCACAATAATTCCACTTTGGTGAGTTATATCTGATCGCTGAATCTTAAAGTAAACACAAAGCTTGTAACTCGCACGATTCTCTTTTACGTTTTTATTGAAGGGTATCGTGAATAGTCTCAGTTGTTCACAAATTTTCTTGCTTATTCTGGTTTTGTGTATGACATCTAAATTGTCCCTCTCTCCCAAATATGTCTTTCCTCTAGACATTGTTTCTTGTGAAAAATAATAATAATAATGGAATTTGGAATTTTACAAATTTTTGAGCACCTGTTCTTTCAGTAAATTCACAAGCGCTCACATGCCAATTAACCCGTAAACGGTCCAAACGTATATATACGTTTTTTCAACATTTGAAGGTATGTAAAAAAAGTAGATCTTCTTTTTGTTTTTTTGAAAATTTGTAAAAAAATCTTTGATCAACTTTTTTTTTGTTATATTTGAAAATATGTAAAAAACTTAGATCTGCTTGTGTAGCGCTACACATGTGAACGTAGATCTGCTTGTGTAGTGCTACACATGTGAACGTAGATCTGCTTGTGTAGTGCTACACATGTGAACGTAGATCTGCTTGTGTAGTGCTACACATGTGAACGTAGATCTGCTTGTGTAGCGCTACACGTGTGAACGTAGATCTGCTTGTGTAGCGCTACACGTGTGAACGTAGATCTGCTTGTGTAGCGCTACACATGTGAACGTAGATCTGCTTGTGTAGCGCTACACGTGTGAACGTAGATCTGCTTGTGTAGCGCTACACATGTGAACGTAGATCTGCTTGTGTAGCGCTACACGTGTGAACGTAGATCTGCTTGTGTAGCGCTACACATGTGAACGTAGATCTGCTTGTGTAGCGCTACACATGTGAACGTAGATCTGCTTGGACCGTTTACGGGTTAACCAGGTTAATAAAAAATAATAATAATGGAATTTGGAATTTTACAAATTTTTGAGTACCTGTTCTTTCAGTAAATTCACAAGCGCTCACATGCCATTTAAAGATATTACAATGAAAAAAATACTAAAACAAAAATTTAAAGAGAGATGGTCTCCGTAACATACCCGGAGAGGGTTTTGGAGGTCAGTGCCCCTACGACCCGGTCTGTGACCAGGCCTTGTGGTGGGTCAGGGCCTGAGCAACCAGGCTGTAGCTGCTGACCACACTTTTTGGACAAAATTTTGTATTTGCGAATTCCATGAGACTGCTGGGACTGTAACTCTCATGAATTTAGGGGGTCGCCTGTATTTTATCTAAGATCGACATATCTCTGGATAAAATGAAGTGCTTGTATAAGTAAACTTCATTATAATAAACTAATAAGGAAAGATTGTTCAAGAGTACAGTGGACCCCCGCATAACGATCACCTCCGAATGCGACCAATTATGTAAGTGTATTTATGTAAGTGCGTTTGTACGTGTATGTTTGGGGGTCTGAAATGGACTAATCTACTTCACAATATTCCTTATGGGAACAAATTCGGTCAGTACTGGCACCTGAACATACTTCTGGAGTGAAAAAATATCGTTAACCGGGGGTCCACTGTATTTACCTCTTATTTTTAAATTCATTTTTTTTTTCTAGGTTATCATTTTCATCTCTAGGCATTGTTTTTTTCTAGGTATCATTTTCATCTCTAGGCATTGTTTTTTTCTAGGTATCATTTTCATCTCTAGGCATTGTTTTTTTCTAGGTATCATTTTCATCTCTAGGCTCTAATCAAGGCATATACATTGAGAGGAGTGTAATTTATATTAGTAGTATTGGCATGCCTCTGGCAAGACAGTGATGGAGTGATTGATGGTGAAAGTGTTTCTTCTTTTTTGGGTATTTTTTGCCTTGGTGGGAAATTGCCAGTGTGTTTAGGAAAAAGTTTACATTAGTCTGTATACTAGGTATTAAAGTATTCTTGACTGGTGGTGTACAGGTGACATGTAGCCTTAATGACCCTCGTGTAGTAGATAGTCTTGAAACTCCATTAACCAACCAACCAGCCTTAATGACCCTCGTGTAGTAGATAGTCTTGAAACCCCATTAACCAACCAACAGCTCTTAATAACCCTTGTATAGTAGATAGTCTTGAAACCCCATTAACCAACCAACCAGCCTTAATGACCCTCGTGTAGTAGATAGTCTTGAAACCCCTTTAAACCCAAACCCAACCAGCCTTAATAACCTTGTGTAGTAGATAGTCTTGAAACCCCATTAACCAACCAACCAGCCTTAATGACCCTCGTGTAGTAGATAGTCTTCAAACCCCATTAACCAACCAACCAGCCTTAATGACCCTCATGTAGTAGATAGTCTTCAAACCCCATTAACCAACCAACCAGCCTTAATGACCCTCGTGTAGTAGATAGTCTTGAAACCCCATTACCAACCAACCAGCTTAATGACCCTCGTGTAGTAGATAGTCTTGAAACCCATTAACCAACCAACCAGCCTTAATGACCCTCGTGTAGTAGATAGTCTTGAAAACCCTTTAACCAACCAACCAGCTTAATGACCCTCGTGTAGTAGATAGTCTTGAAACCCCATTAAAACCAAACAACCAGCCTTAATGACCCTTGTGTAGTAGATAGTCTTGAAACCCCATTAACCAACCAACCAGCCTTAATAACCCTTGTGTAGTAGATAGTCTTGAAACCCATTAACCAACCAACCAGCCTTAATGACCCTTGTGTAATAGATAAACCTTAATGACCTTGGTGTAGCTGGTAGGACAGGCTTTAAACCTAACAAAGTAACTATTTAGGCAC